CCTTGGGGAGACAGGGCGTAGTCACACGGACGGGCCGGGCCCCGGTGCCCCCAGGTGTCGTCTGAGTGGCCAGGCGGAGCCAGGGGAGCAGGCGGAACCCGGTGCGGCTCCCGCTCGCCGTGCCAAGGCTGTGGGGTTCTGGACAACCAGATGCCCTGAGGCCTGGGGCGCCGGCATCTACGTGGGGTCAAGCCCTGGCTGAGTGCCCAGGAGTGGGGTCCTAGGGCTGCCTTACAGGTGCCGACTCTTCTGGGCCACGTGGTAGGTTGTAGGTACTGCCTAAGAGTCGTGATTTGCACGACTAGGGGTTGAATTCAGCCCAGCCAAGGCTTACTAAGCACCTGCTGTGTGCAAGGCGATGTCAGGCCCTGATGGAACCCTCGTCCCAGGGTTTGGGGAATGGGACCAGAAGAGCACTTCACCTCTTTCTCACTTTTGGCTCCCAGGAGAAATTTATCCATTCATTCATATGTTGGCACTGCTGGTTGTTTACCTGGGCCATCCCACCTCTCGCCAGCTTTGCTGCTACCGTCTTAGTATGCTTAGGATGCCATCTCTCATCTGAACTGCTGCAACAACCTCCTAATTGTTTGCCCACTTCTGCTCTTGTTTTTCTTGTGATCAGTTGTCCAACCAGCAGCATGAATGATGTCTAAGATCTGATAAATGACGCCTGTTATCCCAGCACTTAGGGAGGCTGAGGAGGGAGAATTGCTTGAGACCAGCCTAAGCAACATAGTGAGACCTTGTCTCTAAAAAAATTTTTAAAAATTATCCGGGCGTTGTGGCAGGGGCCTGTAGTCCCAGCTACTCAGGAGGCTGAGGCAGAAGGAGTCTCTGAGCCTAGGAGGTTGAGACTGGGGTGAGCCATGATCATGCGACTTCATGTCAGCCTGGGAGACAGAGTAAGACCTTCTCAAACAAACAAAACTGATAAACTTTAAGATCATAGCATTTCCTTGCCTAAAACCCTCCGGAGGTTTCTCATGACACTTGGAATAAAATTCAAACTCCTCACCATGGTCTGTAGGGTCCTGTCTTCTTCTCATCTTGTACATTCTTCCTGACATTCCCTCCACAACAGCTGTCCTTGCCTTCTCTCTTTCCCTGCCCTGCCTGCTCCCTTCTGCCCAAGGACCTATGGCTGTCCCTTCTTGGAATACTCTTTCTTGGGCTTGTCACATGCTCCGTTCAACTCAACTGTCACCTCCTCAGAGAGACCTCTGTCTACTGTCCCATGTTCTTGATCATATGATCTTGGTTTTCTCCTCCTCTGTCTAAAATGATTATGTGTATGTCCGTTATATCCACCCCTCACTAGAATGGAGCCCTGTGAGAACAAGAATCCCATCCATCTCTTGTTCCCAGCTATGTCTCTAGCACCTAGAACGGTACCCATAGTCGGGGCTCAGCAAGTGTTTGCTGAATGGAAGGATGAGGATGGGATTGTCAAGGTCAATCTGGGCAGCTGGCCTCAGGTCCTCCACCCTGTCCATGTTCTGGGTTGAGCAGGCTGAGGTCTCTACTCAGGGCCCTGCTTTCTCCTCACTCCCCATTGCCCCTTGGCAGGTTTGTTCTCATGAACAAGATGGATGACCTCAACCTGCACTACCGGTTTCTGAACTGGCGCCGGCGGATTCGGGAGATTCGAGAGGTCAGGGCGTTCCGATATCAGGAGAGGTTCAAACATATCCTTGTAGATGGAGATACTTTGAGGTGAGTTCAGGGGGATGCTTCCCCACGTTCCTTTCTGTTCCAGATCCTAGAGCTGAAAGGGGCCTTTTTCAGAGGAAGAGGACTGTCAACACTGCTCTGGGGGCGGGGGGATACTCTCAATCCCAGAGGCCTTTCCGAGTGGAGCAGTGTGTCCTGCTTCCCCCGCCATTCCCCTCTGCCTCTGTCACTAGGTGGCTCTGTCCTGGTCCATCTAGGAAGGGATCTAGCAAGGGTCTGTCCTGGTTGGGCACTGGAAATGATCATGGCAGATACAGGGGGCTGCCAGGGTCTCAGGAGTCCCCAGGTGCCTTGTTGAAAAGACTTCAGTACGTCTGTGGGGTGGCAGAGTTTCCTATCTATTCTCAGGGACTGGGTTCGGTGAGAGTGGCCATTTCAAAGGCAGTGGAGTTCCTGTTTTGGGAAGGACAGTTCTGTAGTGTGTCCTGTCCACCACCTCCCATGTCTTTCCAAGCCTTTCATTTTCCTCTTTTCTGGCTTGAAGCCCTTCCCTGACTCCTTCTGAGCCTATTATCTCACAAAGTGGTCCCTGAAGGGTGAAGGAAGTAGTTTTACTTAGCCTGGAGGCAAGAAAGCTAGGAAGTGGGGGCTGCATAACTGTTCCAATCCATGGTGGGCTTTGGTACAGAGAGTAGAGACCAGCCAGAGCCAGAAAAGGGCCGAGGCTGCCACACGCGGGATTGCAGTTAGATAGGATGTGAGACCCCTTGTAGGCAACAAAGGGAGACTCTACATTCTTTCACCCCAGAAATGAGGAAATCAGACTTGTGCTGGTCTAGTATGGGGTAGACCCTGGCTGGAGGCAGCAGCAGAGGGGTGATGAGGTGACCTTAAGTATCTTGTTATGGTGTCTGCAGATGTCCCAAAGTGCGGTCTAGTGGATTCTCCTCTGTGCTGGCCCTTGCAGGGTAAGGGGTGGGGGTGCTGAGACCCTGCTCTCTACTCCTGGGCTAGGCTGCTAATGGAACTCCCCCTCATTCCTCCTTCAGTTACCATGGAAACTCTGGTGAAGTTGGCTGCTATGTGGCTTCTCGACCTTTGACCAAGGACAGCAATTATTTTGAGGTGATCAGGGCATTGGGTGGGCAGAGCAGGGGGTGAGGTCATTAAGCCCAAAGGAGCTCCTTTACTAGATTCACAACCTGGTCCTTTTAACTTTCCATCAGGACTGTCTTGTTGGCTGGGAAAAGATTGCTGGATAGCACGGCTGCTAATCTGAGAGATAGGTGCCCTGGCATCCTGTCACCCTGTCCCTTCTCCTCTTTTACCTAGGTAGATTTTGATTCATATTCCAGGTCTTTTCTTTTGTTTTACAATTGGGGGTCTCACTCTGTTGCCAGGCTGAAATGCAGTGGTACGATCACAGCTCACTGCAGCCTCATCCTTCCGGTCTCAGGAGAGCCTTCTACCTCAGCCTCTCGAGTAGCTAGGACTACAGGCTCATGCTGGCTAACTTTTAAAATTTTTTTGTAGACACCAGGTCTCACTATGTTGCCCAGGCTGATCTGAGCTACTGCACTAGCCCCATATCTCAGACTTTGACTTGTGTCCCTTAACCCCAACCCAGTGTCTACTGTATTCGCTATCTTTTCCCAAAACTTGTACATAATTTTCTAAGTACTCATGGTAAAGTAGGCCCCACCCTCCCCGGTTCTCCCTCGGACTGTCCTCTCTTTTTCTTCTCCCATGTTTTTTGTCTCTGAGCCTCAGCCCCCTTTGATCTCTAACCCCCTGCCCCCCTCCCCCCACGATTCATTTCCCATCCTTGCTAACTGTGCCCTGGTCTCTTCCTCCCAGGTGTCTATTGTGGACAGTGGGGTCCGGGGAACCATTGCTGTGGGGCTGGTCCCTCAGTACTACAGCTTGGACCACCAGCCCGGCTGGTTGCCCGACTCCGTGGCCTACCATGCTGACGATGGCAAGTAAGTTACCCCCTGTGGAAGCTGGCCCTTTTTGCTGTGGACTTGGGAGTCTTCAATATGAAGGGTGGTTTTTCCCACTGGGTGTTCCACAGACTTCTGGCTGGCAGATTAGAGGGAGGGTGGTGCTCATGTTAGAACGTAGCAAGTGACTAGGAGTGGCAAGATGAGGCCTCCACTGTCAGTGCTGGGGAGAGGTTGGGAGGCCAGGCTCAGGTCCGTGTCTGTGCTGCTCTGTCCACAGGCTGTACAATGGCCGAGCCAAGGGCCGCCAGTTTGGGTCCAAGTGCAACTCTGGAGACCGGATTGGCTGTGGCATTGAGCCCGTGTCTTTCGATGTGCAGACTGCCCAGATCTTCTTCACCAAAAATGGGAAGCGGGTGAGTGGGCAATCTGAGGTGGGATTTAAGTGGCTTGAAGCTGCCCAGGGATTTGTGGGCACGATTAGGAAGAGTCTGCTGGCTGAGGCTTTCCCAGGGACTCATGTACCTAGATCCCATCTCCTTCAGTCCAGCTTCAGATTCTCCTGCAGCTGGGTGCAGTAGCTCATGTCTGTAATCCCAGCACTTTGGGAGGCAGAGGCGAGAAGGACTGCCTGAGCCCAGGGGTTCAAGACCAGCCTGGACAATTTGGTGAGACCTCGTTTCTATAATAAGTTTTTAAAAATTAGCTGGGTAGCCGAGCTCGGTGGCTCAGCCTGTAATCCCGCGCCTTTGGGAGGCTGAGGTGAGTAGATTGCCTGAGCCTGCGGGTTCGAGACCCGCCTGGGCAGCAAGACCTCATCTCTACAATAAATCAAAAAAATCAGCCGGGCGTGGTAGCGCATGCCTGTAATTCCGGCTAGGATCCGGAAGGATCGCCGGACCACAGCAGGTCGAGGCTGCGGTGGCCGGGAGCGGCACTGCACTCCAGTCTGGGCAACCGAGTGAGACTCCAACTCAAAAAACAAACAAACAAACAAAAAAACAATTAGCTGGGTATGGTAGCACGCACTCTGGTTCCAGCTACTTGGATGACTGAGGTATAAGGATCACCTGAGCCCAGCAGGTCGAGGGTGTGGTGGCCGTGAAAGTGCCCCTGCACTCCAGCCTGGGTGACAGAGTGAGACTCTGACTCAAAAAAAAAAAAAAGATTCTCCAGCAGTCTCCTGTGTGTAGAAGACATGTCCGCTGCCCAGGGGGCCCTGGGATATTACCTAGGTGGTAGGCACAGAGGGGCAAGGGAGTAGGGCAAAGGATGAGCAGGAGTGGTGAGGAGCAGACTTGGGTGATTTGGTGGAAGGTTTTGAGCAAAGTGGGGAAGACTGGCCTTGCTGTATAAACTGGAGGTCTTCTTTGGGTTTTTGACTTGAACACTTTTTGGGAATTTGTTTTTTGTGTGTTTTATTTTCCTTGTTTCACTTCTCTGTCCCCTCCTCTTAAGAGAGACTAGTAGTGGCGGAGAGATGGGACGAGCCGATGGAGAGGGACGCCCAGCTCTCTCCCTTCTCCCAACTCCATCTCCCCTAGGAGAACTGCCGTCCCAGACCTTGGCTGCGGGTTCCACTCCCTGAGCATCGGTGCTTCAGCCCTTTTCTCTCCAGCACATGAACTTGAAGTATTTGGCAGTCAGTCAAGAGACTTGGGCTTGTCTTCTAGTTCTTTGAATAGGAGCACTTAGCAAATTTTCCAACTTTTCTGCACCTCTGGGTTTTGTATCTGTCAGTGTATGTGATCATTATTGGTTGCATCATCTTACAAGTACCCTCTTGAGAATTGGATGCGCTATGGAGAGACGAGCCAGGTGGCAGCTCCATCCCTCCTTCTACTGCAGGTGGGCTCTACCATCATGCCTATGTCCCCGGATGGATTGTTCCCAGCAGTGGGCATGCACTCCCTGGGCGAGGAGGTGCGGCTGCACCTCAATGCCGAGCTGGGCCGTGAGGACGACAGCGTCATGATGGTGGACAGTTACGAGGACGAGTGGGGCCGGCTGCATGATGTCAGAGTCTGCGGGACTGTGAGTAAGGGGCAGTGGGCACTGGGGGCCTCAGGTGGAGTGGGCTGTGGGCACATGACGATGTCTGAACTGCTTAGAGTGGGAAGTGAGGACGGTGTCTTGGTGGGCTCTTGGCAGGATGGCCTGGTCTTGACGTGATTCCTGGAGTCCAGGTCTGTGTGCTCTTAGCTCTGACTTCCTTTTCTTCTCTTTCCCTCCATCGGAATCCTCAGGTTCACTGTTTAACTCTTGGGATGAGTAGAAGTTCTCCTTGGCCTTTTTTGGTCCTTCAGCTTCTGGTGCCCTCTGCTGCCTCACACAGCTGTCTTTAAGGGGCTGGGGGCAGATTCAGCAAGAGGCCAGATGCCTGATCCCCCCAACTTTTGGCTTGGTCCCAGCTCACCTGGCCTGGGCTTTCCATTCCGAGTGCTGTGGGGCAGGTGTGGTCACAAGTCCCACACACGTAGAAGGCTCCTGGCGATCTGAGTAAGCATCAATATCAGCTTCTGCTGTCTTCCTCCTACATTTGATGGAGGATGAGAATGGAGGCTGGTGAAGATTGAAGGAGAATCCTTGTGCCTCCAAGGCTTGCTTCACTCATCGTCTCCTCATACCTGCTTTGTCTCTCTCTGGATATTAAACTTTCTTGGGAAGCACATGGACCTTGAGAGAGGAAAATTCTTCCTGTCTGCCCTCCATGCCTCACACTGTGTTGGAAGTAAATGGACATGGAATCAGGCATCTGGCCCTGACCTCGAGTGGGCTGCTCAGGCCTCCCACTTTGAGTTGTCCCTCTGCTGCCCCCTTTCCCCCAGCCTGGCCTTTTTCTCCACCCTCTGGCCTTCTCACCCCAACCCAGGCTGTTTTCAACTCAGGCTTTGATAACAAAATAGAAGCAGTAGGGGGTGGGAGGGGATTGTGAGCCAGGCCTCCCCCTTGTAGAGTTCAAGGTAAGTCAACCTAGGGAAATGGAAGAAAGCTGCCCTCCTGCTGCTTTGACCCTCTGCACCCCTTTCTGGCACTGGAGTCTCAGGCCTGCAGCGGCCGCGAGCCAGGAGGCCTCACCTGCCCACTTCTGGATGCTCCTCTCTTTCCTTTCTTTTCTCCTTCCATTTTCATTTGGACAGTATCTGCAGAGTTGAACTTGGGACTGAGCCAGGGCAAGGTTCCAGCTCTCACCCCTGACCTCTCCTCAAGAGTTTTTTCCTGGCATCCTTTCTCTGCCTGGACCTGTCCCCACTCTGCTCCCAGCTCTTCCCAGGCAGTCTTTTCTAATTGATGCAGAATCCTGTAGACATTGATAAATCACCTTCCTTCCTCCCCACCCTCTCCCCAGTGCCCTCAGGCCACTCGTTTAAGAATTTTTTCTTTCTTAGACATAAGCGGTTGAGTTTGGCCCTTCTCAGACCCTCACCCCAGCTTGGCCAGCCAGCAGGGTGGGGACACTACTCCCTCAGCACTGGCTCCTCGGACAGCCTTGGGCATGAGCCTCTTGAGGGACATGTGCCTTTGTCTAGTCTTGCCAACTACCCCATCTTTCAGGTGAGGGTGACCTACCCAGCTTCTTCTGCCCCCTTGGGCCTTCCATCCCCACTTGTTTTCTGACTCACTCCCTCCTGTCCCTGTTACCACTTACTCACTTGGGCATTTCAGAACCAGTAGTCAAATGTGGTCAGCCTGGAGGAGCCGGGAGAGGTCATTTTGGCTGTGCATGCCCATGCCTCCTTGTTCTAAAGATGTCTAGTACAGATGTTTCTCCTCTCTGCCCTTTCGGTTTTTTATGTCCCCCTCTGATGGGGAGTCCAATTCTGGGACCCCAGGCTGCTGTTGTTGAAGCCGTCTCTCCTGTCCTGTTTGATGTTCTTAGCAGAGTGCCCTCTAGAACCAGAAAGGCTTGGAAGGGTCTCTGGTGTTACCCAGGCCAGTGTTTCTCAATGGGGAGACTGTTGACATTGTAGTTGGGACAGTGATTTGAGGTACACAGGGTGTTTAGCATCCTGAGCCCTCAGGCACAAGATGCTGGTAGCCGCCTCCCCTGGTCACTGTGATAGCCCAGAGTATGTTTGGACGTTTCCAGATACCCTGTTGTGCTACTGATGGAAAAGCAGTCCCAGAGAAAAGTGAGGAGACTTGTTCAAATGTCAAACAGGGAATTAGCAAAACTGGGCCCAGTTATTCATGCTCTGACTCCTCTCCACAGCCTTCCCACTATGGCCTTGTCCCCAAACTGCTCTTCTGTGGCCTGTCATCTCCATGCTTCCCGCCCCTCCTCATAAGATGAACAGAGTTCCTAGGTTTGATCCCCGCTTCCCTCCGGAGTCTCTTGTCTAGTCTCCTTAGCCAAGGCCCTTCTAGGTGAATGTATTTGGCTGCCTTGGAATTCTTTTACTCTCAGTTGTCGAATCTCAGTGATCTCTTCTCCCTTCTTGCTGGTTCTTCCCATAAAAAAAAAAAAAGAGCAAATTCAATTCCTGACTCTTTCATTTGTGTGTCCAACATTTCGTTATGAACAATTTCAGGCCGGGCACAGTGGCTCACACCTGTAATTCTAGCACTTTGGGAGGCTGAGGCAGAAGGACTGCTTGAGGCCAGGAGTTCGAGACCAGCCTGGACAACAGTGAAACCCTATCTCTATAAAAAAAATTTAAAAATTAATCAGGCGTATAGTCCCAACTACTTGGGAGGCTGAGGTGGAAGAATCGCTTGATCCCAGGAGTTTGAGGTTACAGTGAGCTATGATTGTACCACTGCACTCCAGCTGGGGTGACAGAGGGACTCCCTGTTTCTTTAAAAAGAAAAAAGAAACTAGTAAAAAAGTTCAAGTAAGGGCCAGGTGTGGTGGCTCACACCTATAATCCTAGCACTTTGGGCAGCTGAGGTGAGAGGATTGCCTGAGCCCACGGGTTTGAGACCAGCCTGGGCAACTTGGTGAGACCTCATCTCTACAATAAATCAAAAAAACTAACTGAGCATGGTGGCGCATGCTTGTAGTTCCAGCTGTTTGGAAGGCTGAAGTGGAAGAATAGCCTGAGCCCAGCTGTGGTGGCTGTGAGCATGCCACTGCCCTTGAACCTGGGCTACAGTGTAAGACTGACTCAAAGAAAAAAAAGTTCAAGTATACTGAGTGTGATGGCTCACACCTGTAATCCCAGCTCTTTGGGAGGCAGAGGTGAGAGGACTGCCTGAGCCCGAGAGTTTGAGACCAGCTTCGGCAACTTGGTGAGACCTCATCTCTACAATAAATTTAAAAAATTAGTCGGGGGTGGTGACCCATGCCTGTGGATCCAGCTACTTGGAAGACTGAGGTGGGAAGATCGCCTGAGCCCAGTTTGAGGCTGTGGTGGCCGTGAGTGTGCCACTGCACTCCAACCTGGGTAACAGAGTGAGTCTCTGACTCAAAAAAAAAAAAATTCAGAGACGTTAAAAAAATAAATAATACAGTGAACACTCATATACCCACCCCCTAGATTCAACAGTTGTTAATATTTAGTCATGTTCGTTTGATCTGAGTATCTATATATAGACAAACCTGTCTATTTCTCGAGTGGAACTTTTCCTCTGTCTCTTGTGGCCTCAATTTCCCTTCCTAAAGAGTCTCCCCTCCAGAGTTCCAGGGTGTTTAAGAATCGCTGCTGTGCTTGCTCAGGGATGGGGTGTTGCCCCTCCTCTCACCCCTGCCCCCAGGCCTTGCAAAGTCAGGGAGGCTGTGGAGGGTGGGGGGCCATGGTGCAGCTGGGGGATTAGACTCACTCTGGCTTTGTTCCCTGTTCATAGCTCCTCTGACAACTCCTTAGCGACCACAGGCAACAGCTTTGGTACACACAGGGTGGTGAGTGAGGCCCCACCCGCCCAGGGGTCCTCCCAGACCCCGCCCCGAAGGAGGCTGTGTTGGGGCCTGAGCTGGCCAGTAGGAAGCAAGTGCCTGGTTCCTGTTTCGGCAGCTTCTGGGCCTTCAGGGCACCGAGCCCTCCCTTGCTCCTGTCAAGAGGGATTAGGGTCTCTCCTGGCAAGGGGAGGAGGGCGGCTGCCAGCTGGGCAGAGGAGCCTGGGAGGGTGCTCTGGAGAGGGCGGGTGTGGGTGCAGGAGGCTGCCCATACTGCTCTGTAGCCTCCACACTGGGCACTGTCCACCTGTCTGGCCTCTCAGGGCTTTGAGGGTATATACGTGTGGGGGGAAGTAGGGAGCTTCGGGGCCCCTAGGAAAGGGTTTGCTCCACCCCCACCAAAGGTGCAGAGGAATATTCATGTTTATTGGGCATGGCTTGAGGGAGGACCCTTGGAGCAGAGTTGTCTGGGGTGTGGTCATCTGTCCTGGTTGGCCTCAGGGACCATTCTAGTTGAAGGTGAGGACAGACGGAAGATCTTTTCCTTCCTTGTGATGGCAGTCCCAGTGTAACCCCCACTTCCTGATTTAGGGAGAGGCAGACGTGTGCCAATCACCTCTGGGTGTCAGGGTCTGTGCAAAGCTCTTGACACTCTGTCTAGTCTTTTCATCTGTTTTTGGAGATGCAGGTATTGTTATCTCATCTTACTGTTGGAGAATCCAAGGCTTAAAGAGATGAATGTCATTTGCCCCAAGTTAGTGGCTACTAAGTAATGGAGTTAAGAGTTGAACCTGGGTCTGTTGGAATCTCTTTCACACTAGGAGGCATCTGAGGCACAGGGAGGGACCAGCGTCAAGGTCATCAAGACTCCAGGGGCTGACCCTCCCGTCTCTTCCTAACAGCTGTAGGCTGAGGAGAGAGGAATGCACTCAAGAAAGGCTGTCAGGGAGGCCAAACTTCCCCTGCACTTCTGTCCCTCTAAGTGCTCTGGAGGCCCAGGACGGCTTGGGTGGCCCTTGCCCAGGAGCAGGAGAGTGGACCAGATGGTTTCTGAAGAGGGCACCGTGCGAGACCTAGACACCTAGGATGCCACAGTGTGTCTGAAGCCTCTGCGGGTCGGGTGGACTGTGGGCTCCGGAGTGCTGTGGTAGTGCAATCTGGCTTCCCAGTCATTCAGAGAAGGGAGTCTCCCACCCCATCTGTAGACGGAACTGAGCAGCCGCCCTCCTCTAGGCTGGGGGAGGGGAGGCTTGGCCAGCGTTTCCCAAGGATCAAGGTCTGGATCAGCTATTTTGGCTCTGGAGCTGGAGAACACTGTGTTTCCTGCACTGAGGCCAGTTGGATAGAGTGGGTCAGGGCAGCTGTGGGGCCCCCCGCCCAGTGCTGGGTGGGGAGTGTGGGCTGGGGGCTGCTCTAATTGGGTGGGGTGTACACTGGTTAATGTGCATTGTGCCCCACCCCTCCAGGCTCTCGGGGGTGGGAGGGGTGCAGGGGAGCCCAGGCTGAGGGAACTTGAGCAGAATTCACACAGTGTGGGCCTGGGCTGGGTCTGGGGGTTCCCTCATGCACATCTGGTTTTCCCCTGGTCCGCCCCAGTTCTCTTGGGAGAGGACGAGAGGATGACCGGGGGGTGGCAGGGCTCCAGGACTGAGAAGGGCACAAGCCCCTCTGTTCCCGCCTTCTGACGTGGGTGGTGAGGGTGCAGGACTAGCCTCTGGTGCAGGCAAGCCTAATTCCTTTCCTGTTCAGGCAGGAATCTTTGGGGGTGAGAGGCCAGCGTCCCAAAGCTTGCCAGAGAGACATGGAGGAGGTCCCCAGAGAGCCTGCTTTCTTAGGGCTGCAGGGGTGGGAGGGTGGAAGAAAGTCTTGAGGGGCAGTTGGGCTAATTAAAGGGGATTAAGGAGTCCCAGGTGATGCTGAAGGTGGGGGAAAAGGGGATGAGGTTGAGTCATTGCCTCAGTGTTACCATGGCAACTGACAAATAAATCCTCCCAGATTGGGGGTTGCTGCCCTGTCATGCCCGGGCAGGGCCATTGTGGGACTGAAGAGCCCCAAGAACCTGTCCGCCATCTCCCCTTTCCTGCCGCCACTCCTGTTCCAGCTTGGAAGAGCAGTGAGGGACTGGGGACGGGAGAGCCCTCTTCTCTCTTCACTCTGACCTCTCCCCTCCCTCGCATGCAGTGAAGCATAGAGCTGGTCGCTCTGGGTCCTTGGGCTCCCTGCAGCACCTCCCTGACCCAGCTAGGAGCAGCTGTGTTCGAAGCCAAGTAATACAAGGACCTTGAAAAATGATGTCAGACCCAACCCAGGCAGAATCGGCTTCTGAGCTCATCTGCTTCCCCCAGACATCTGGGGCTGGCACCTAACTTCTGCATCCTCCCTGTTCCCACCTGTCCCCTGAGAAAGTCAAGTTTCCTCTCAGCCTGGTCTTCCCTCTCCTTTCCCTGAATTTGGGCCGCAGGGCGGGTGAACCTCTGCCAGCAGGAAAGGCCTGCAGGATTCTCCAGCGAGGGGACACCTGGAGTGTGCTAGAGGCTCTGGTGTGGCTCTGGGACTGGGCCATCTGGCTGCTGTGCTCTGTGTTGCGCCCCCAGCCTCCCAGAAAGCAAGGAGACATTCAGCATGGGAGCCCTGTTGCCCAGGCTTTCCCCTCCGCTTTTCCCCTCCGCCGCCCTACCCCATCCCTGTTCTTCCATGCCTGCCTAGAACTTGGAGGCCACATTGAGTCCCAAGAATCTGGGGTTCTTTCCCTTTCAGCCAGGGGTTTTTGTCAGACCTGGGAAACAGGTCCCACACTGCCTGGGGACCGGGTTTCCAGGGTTGGTGTCTGCCTGGCCCCTGACCCCACCTGGCTGTTCCCCCACAGCTGCTGGAGTACTTGGGCAAGGGCAAGAGCATCGTGGATGTGGGTCTGGCCCAGGCCCGACACCCCCTGAGCACCCGCAGCCACTACTTCGAGGTGGAGATCGTGGACCCTGGAGAGAAATGCTACATTGCCTTGGGGCTGGCCCGGAAGGTACGCACGAGGGCTGGGCTTTTGCCCCTGGAGCTGCCTGGTTCTAGGGCTGTCGAGATGGGGCCTGGAAGCTCTGGGGAAGCGAGGGGCCCAGGCTATGGAGGGAAGCCCTTATGCTAAGACAGAACAGGGTCATGTGTGTCTGCTGTAGGTACAGACCCCACGTGGCTGAGGACCTGCGGCAGGTCAGGTGGCACCACACACCGTGAGGATGGGGGAGAGGAAGGGGGCATCCTGTAGCCCTGGCCTTGGGGGCTTAACACCCCTCATCTTCCCTGGTCCCCTGCAGTCCCAGCACCTGCAGGACAGAGACCGCCGGGCTGAGAGCAGCTGGCGGGGCGGTGCCTCTTCCAGAAGGTTCAGGCACCACTTCCCCCGTCCTGCTCCTTTGTGCCTGGGACCATAGGTTTTCTTTGTTCTTCTTGGTGCAGGATTATCCCAAGAACAGGCACCCTGGCTGGAGCCGAGGGTCCGTGGCTTACCATGCGGGTGAGTGGGAGGCTTCCTGGGAGGTGGGGTTGTGGGCTGTCAAGGCTGGGGATGTCCACTTTCCTGTCCTCCTGCTGGCTGTTCTCCCTTCAAGCCCAAGTGCTTTTACCTCATCCGGGTTTTCCCTCCCAGCCCTGAAGGCCAGGGTCGCGGGACCGGTGGGAGATCAGGCCACTGGTCCTTCCGGGCTCTGAGTTGCTCTGTGTGGGCCCTCCCTGCAGAGTCCACAGGTGCTTGTTCTTTTCTGGTCTGCCTAGTTTCCTTTAGGCTTTTTTTAGAAGAGGACTGAGCCTGGAGTTCCTGTCCCACCTCTGCTTCCTCCCTGACGGTCATGCTTCCCCAGGGCTCATCCTCTCTTCCAACCAGCCCCCTGTGGGAGCTTCCCCTTTGGGCTTTGAGCCGATGGACGTTGGGTCTCCTGTTTGAACCCTAGGATCCCCTGCCACATCTCTCCATCTTGTTCCACCTGTCCCCTCCCTTCCTCTGAGCCAGTGAGGGGAAAGGGAAGCAGTGGTGGCTCTGGGGGTGTCATGCCAGTCCCTCCTTCAACTGTGTGGCCTCTTCCCCCTGCCAACAGATGACGGGAAGATCTTCCATGGCAGTGGTGTGGGGGACCCCTTTGGGCCACGCTGCTACAAAGGGGACATTATGGGCTGTGGAATCATGTTCCCCCGGGACTACATTCTGGACAGTGAGGGTGAGTGGGGAGGGTGGGGGGCAGCGGGCCGCCCAGGGCAGAGAGTGGGAGAGTGCCATGGGAGCTCAGGTTTCCCATTCTTCTAGGGGACAGTGATGACAGTTGTGACACAGTGATCCTGTCCCCGACTGCCCGGGCTGTCCGGAACGTCCGGAATGTCATGTACCTGCACCAGGAAGGGGAGGAGGAGGAGGAGGAGGAGGAAGAGGAAGACGATGGGGAAGAGATAGAGCCAGAGCATGAGGGCAAGAAGGTGGTGGTGAGTAGGGGGGTTTGGGCGGGACTAGGGTCTGGGAGGTGGCGGTGTTCAGAGGGGGAGCCGCATCGGGAGGCTCTTCCCCGGCCCCAGCACGCCCTCTAGTGGCCGCTTTCCGCATCACCCTGACTGCGCCTCCCCAGGCTCTCCTCGGGAGTTGGGAGCCGTTGGGCTTCGAGCTCAGTCCAGCACCCTCAGAGAAGAGGCCCGGCCTGCCTGCTCCATTCTCCTCCCTGCCCCCAGGTTTTCTTCACTCGGAATGGCAAGATCATCGGGAAGAAGGATGCCGTGGTACCTTCCGGAGGCTTCTTTCCCACCATTGGAATGCTGAGCTGTGGGGAAAAAGTCAAAGTAGACCTGCACCCCCTGAGTGGCTAGGGTCCCCCCAGGCCTGTCCCCCCTCGCCCTCGCTGGACCAGCGCCCCAGCCCCCGACTTCCCTGAGGATTTGCTTACTCAGCAGGCCCCCAGAGGCGCATGGTCACTCTGCCCCTGTCAGCAGTCCCTGGGCCTGAGTCCCTGGCTGGATAGGAGTGGGTCCAAAGAACAGTGTTGATGTGTGGGTGGGTCCCACTCGCCTTGTCGGTGGGCTCTGGGAAGAGGAGTGAGTGCCTGTCTCGGCTGCTGTAGGGCACGATGCTTTGCAGAGGGTGGAGCAGAGACAGCCCCTGCCTCCTTGCCGTAGTCTTTCTCCTTGAATTCTCTTTTGCCCCCCTCCTCATCGTGTGAACCAGTTGCTGCTGTCCCCTGGCGGGGTGAGCGCCCTCTCTGGGGTCCTCCCTGTCCTCTCACTGGCTGCCCCAAAAGACTCCTCGAGGGCCTCCCTTCATTCCCCTGAAAGTGCCCCCCCAGGCACCCACAGAGCCCCAGTCTCTGGCTCCCCAAGCTGTACCCGCGGGGCGGTGCTTGCGTGTGTGAGCGGGCCTGGGAGGTGGAGGGCACTGGGGCCTGTGCTCCTCTCTCCCTTCCCTCCTGCTCTCACCAGGTCCCTGGCTCCCTGGGGTGGGAGCTGAGGCTCTGGGGCATGTCTCCCCTGTCTGGCAAGGACAAGACCCCAGAGCCTTCGCCGGGTGAGCCCAGAGGGGTGGTCTGCCCCTTCCCTTTTCTGAGCCCAGCCACGCCTAGCTCGCTACTTGTGCCAGTTGCCTGTTTTGCCTCCGTGTTTGATTCTAGCACTTACCTGTGACCTCCCCCACCAGGCCCTCGTATCTCCTACCCCCACGACCCCTGAGTCCCTTCCCAAGCAGTGACTCCTGGGAGGAAGAGGGAGCAGGTGGGCAGTGGTTTGCACAGAGCAGTGGGGAAAGCGGGGGCTGCTGTGCTGCTGGGCTCCCTGGCCCGTCAGGTCCTGCACTATGATGTGTGAGATGTATGTACAGACCAGAGATGTTTATACCGCCAATAAAGATGGACTTTCCGTATTTATCAGGATGACTGGACCCGAACCCTTTCCAGTCCACAGGGCTGAGGATGGGGCTGGAGGGCAGGGGGCCACCAAGGCCACTTTTGCATGGAGACATGAGGACCGATGCCAGGCCAGGGTGGGAGTCGCGTATATTCCATGGCTCAGGCTGTGGGCCCCGGGGCCTAGGGTGGCCTGGGAAGCCCAGGGATGTCCCTGGGAAACAGGAGGACTTGACCTTCTGTGAACAAGACATGACTCCAAAAGTCCAACTACAGTTTATAGAAATTCTTTATTATTAGACAAAAATAGACTCTCTTTTTTCCCCATTCATGTGCTCCCACTCTCATCTCCGCTCAGAGAGGGCGGCAGAGGAGGGAGTGACTGCTCCTGCCCCACCACCGCTCCCTGCCACCCTGGGACCTGCAGCTGGGTGGAATTGCCAGGGCCCAAGTCCCCTGGAGGGCTGATGTCCCCGGCAGGCGGGGCTGCCCTCTCCCCTTCGGGGCTCGATGCAACGCCGCTTCACCCTCGCACGCCTGTCTCTGCCATCTGCTCACATGCAAGGTCATCTCACGGGCCTGTCCGCTTAGCTTAGCAGGCTGGGGCGGGTGGGAGAGCAGTGTCCCTAAGGGAGGGTGCTGCCCCTGGTCTCCGGGTCCAGGCCAGGGCAAGAGGGCTGTGGGGTGCCGGGAGGACGCAGTGTTGGGGTGGGCTCCGAGCTGTGGCCTTCTCTCATTTTCTCTGGCCCAGCAGAACTTTGGCGATGAAGGTAACGATGGCGCCCGCAGGCTGCTCTGGGTCGAGCTCTGCAAAGAGGTGACACACGTTCTCCCAGGGGCTTCCTGGCTTCTTGGCCACGAAGCCAAAGATCCTGGGGGCACAGAACCAGGGAGGGAGGGACCTTAGCATTCCTTCCAGGAGGGAATGTGGCTGGTCCTGTGGGGAGGACGGAGGCGCCCTGGTCCCTTGGCGGGCAGAAGTGGGACTCGGGGCGCTTACTTGGAGGTGCTTCCGTCCAGGTTGGTCCATCTGCAGAAGAAGAAGAACTGTGAAGGCCTGTACCCCGGGAGACAGCTCCTGAAGGGGGAGCTGGGGCCGAGGCCTGGGGACTTGGGGCTGTGGGGACAGAGGCTTGGAGAGAGGGTCACCTCCGGTCCTGAGGGTCAGTGCTAGAGAAGGTGATGCTGTTCACTGGATAATGGCGGCGAAAGAAGAGCCTGCAACAGGTACGGTCACACTCAGAATGGGGACTGCCGGGCCTTGGGTACGGGACTCCACAGGGGCCGGGTGCAGACTCACTTCCTTTGGTTGTCTGTCAGTGTGATGCCCTGGGCTGATACCTTGAAGTGGACCACGGCTGGCGTCGGGCGGGGGCTGCAGCCCAGAGCAGCGGAGCTGGCCCGGGTCACAGCCTGGGGGCCTGTCAGTGACTCTGTCTCCACTGAGGTCAGATAGAGCACACTGCAGGCTGGGGGGCAGGTCTTGGGTCAGGGAAGGGGCACCGACCCCCTCGCCTCTCACCCTCTAGCTCTTGCACGATCCCCAGCCAGCACTGTCAAGTGCACTAGAACCACAGGGGATTTGTTACAAGGCCGACTCCATCAGCTCTATGGTCAGAAACACTGGAGAGGGGCCTGGGAACCAGCATTCGCACAAACTTCTATCCCCACCACCCCTGACCCTCAGGTTCGTAAGACTTTGAGAACCCAGACTGAGGGGGGCGTCCCCTCCCCACCCCCCACCAACACGGGCTCCCCCGCCTCCATGGGTTAAATGCATCTGCCAGGGCCCCCCACCTCAGGGCCTTGTGGTGCCCCATGCCCTGGATCTGCAATGCCCCCCTTGGTGCCCAGAGAGAGGGAGGGGGAGGGGTCTCTACCAGCACCCTGACGCAGGAGGTCTGCCGCCGTGCTCATGTTGGTGGGCACTGGGACCTCTGGGGTCTCTTCCAGAGGATCTGGGGGAATGAGGCAGACAGGGGAGGTCAGAGGCAGAGCGTTTCCCAGGAGCTGGACACCCTCTGCCGCTGGGGACGGCTGGGAGTCAGGACCTCTGGCCTCTGCCTCAGGCTGCAGCGGGTGGGGACAGGCGGGGGGGCACACGATCAGACACCCACCTTTGCTGGGAATGCGCAGGCAGCAGGGCAGGGAGATGGGTGAGATGGAGTGTTGGGAGACCAGGGCAGACAGGCTGCCTGCAGGGAGAAGTTAAGAGAAGTCCCGGGGTGCCCACGACAGCTCCCACACTCCTGAGGTCCCGTGGCCTCTCCCTAAACCAGCCCGGTGTAGCCTTCCCCAGTCCTGCTTCTCACCAAAGTAGGGCTCACTGGGACAGCCCTTGATCTTCACCCCTTTGGGCCCAGTCTCGATGAGGAAATGGCGGACAAGCTGTTCCAGGGGGTCCCCTGGGGTGGGGGGGAGAGTACAGCTTCATCAAACTTCAGGTTCCAGCGCCTCCCTGATGCCACTCTTGCCTCTCTCCACAAGCGGCATGCCCTGCACCCTCTCCCGTTATCTTGCCAAGGGCAGCTCCCCACTCCACAGCCCCCTTAGGTTTGGACATCTTGTACCTTTCCAGGGCTGGGCACTGGGTGGAGGTGTGGCCACCTTGAGGGCCAGCCCATAAGCTCCTTGGAATGAATGGCTGTCCCTGATCAGGAAAGCACCGGGGTCCTTGTCCTTCAGCAGGGCAATGGCTGCAGGGTACAGAGAGTGGACGCTGGAGAGGAGTTTCCACGGCTCACTGAGCTCCAGACAGCTTCTCCTCTGCTAACCAGCTCCCCGGGCCCTGACAGCTGTGGGGGTGGCCTGAGTTCACAGGAGCTTTGACAATGTCGAGTCTCCCCTCCTTGGCACACAGCCCAGAATCACCTGCTGGTGAGAGGCTCCGCCAAGGGCGAACAGCTGAGATGGGAGGTGGGGCCAGGGGCTTCAATGGTATGAGATCTAAAAGCCAACACAAGGACCTTGGGGGTGGGGGCGGGACTGGTGTCTCACCTTGGTCACGGGACAGGTGTGGCTTGTACCAGAACTTGGACGTATCCTGGACAAACTTGACGTTGCTTTGGCTCTCTAGCGTAGGGGGCTCTAGGACGGAGAGGGACCGAGTTCAACCCCAGGGCTCCCCCACGCCCCTGCCACGTCCCTCCCTGGGAGAAAGGGTTCTCTCAGGGGACCCCACCCCCCTCAAGGCCTTTATACCTGGGGGATGGGGGGCGTTATCCGGAAGCAGAGGTGCAAAGGTGACATGGTGGCTGGCGCCTCGGGCTGCTGGCGATGCCTGCGCTGGGCCCCAGGACCCTGGTTGTTGCCCAGGCCCCGGCAGGTGGCGTTTCTCAGGAAGCGGGGGCTGGCTAGGGCCACTGATGTCATAGGATGCAGCCAGGGGGAAGGCAGGTGTGGGTGAGCCCTGGGGCGGCTCTGGGCCGGCCACCAGCCAGGGCATCTGGGTGGGCACAGGCGTGAGCGGGGACCCGTCGGGGCTGTCTGGGGGGCCTTGAGGGCCCTGCCAGGGGGCATGGCGGAGGCCAGGCAGTGTGGTAGGCACAGGGGTCCGGGGGCTGGCACTGTCTGGACGGCCCCCTGGGCTTCTTTCCTGAGGCCAGTCATTGGGCGAGCTGGGCGGGGTGGCCGGGGAGAAGGGGCCCGTGGCGGGTGGCTCAGGACCACTTCTCGCCGGCAGCTCAGCGGCCTGGCCTGTGCCTCCCTGAGCAACAGGGGCCAAGGCCTCGCCGGGACTCAGTCTCTGAGTGGGTGCCAAGGTGGGTGACCTGGTGTCCTGCCGTCGGGTGCTACGGGGGGAAGGATGGACAGTCAGCAGGACCCCGTTGTGAGCTGTCCCCAGCCTTCGCCGTCCACCCCGACAGGGAAGCCCCCTCTCACCTCTCCTTGCCCTGCACAGGGCTGCTGGTATGCAGGGGTGTGGAGGGGCCAGACAATTCCGAAGAGGCACTGCACTGGGCATCTCGGGGAGACCGAGGCAGTGTGCTGTGCCCGCTGGGGCCCTCCCTCCAGGACGCCGGGTCAGGTGATTCTGCAGTGAGGGGAGAGACGGGCTAAGCAGGAGCAGGCCCTCTGTCTGCCTCAATCCTTCCACTCCCTGGGTCCCCCTGGCTTCCTCACCACCTTCCAGAACCCTCCTCCGTCCCGGGCACTCCCATTCCGGTGCCCCTCACCTGCAGATGCCAAGGGTCCTGCTGAGGCCAAGTGCCCAGGCAGTGGGTACCTGTCTCCTCCCTCCTCTGCAGGGATCTCGTAGCTCAGCTTCCTGGATTGAGTGTAAGGTGGGCCACCCGGGGAAATGGAGCCAGCCCGTGGGGAGTGGGCACCAGGGCTGGGATACCCTCTGCTCTCGCCTGGAGGTCCGCAGCTATGAGGCACCCGGCCATAGGCCGGGCAGTAACTGGGCACGGCGCCTCCGTAGCCGTATGTCACCAGGGCAGGGTACCCTGGGTGCCCGAACCTGCCTTCAGGGCACACGGCGTAGGAGCAGCCCTCATGCCCTTCCTCCCCTGCCTTGGGGGGCTTCAGGCAGCTGTAGTCAGGCAGCGGGGCATGGTGGTGCCCGCAGGCAGGCACCAGCAGGGGCAGCGGGTGGGCCGGCCGCATTGGGTGCAGGAGGGGCTTGCCGGCCTCGCTGGCCCAGCCCTCACCAGCCTCCCTCTCCAGCCGCAGTCCGTACAGGGCCGCCGTGGGCAGCGCCAGCTTCTCCTCGCAGGCTGGGCACGGGCACAAAGTGGGCAGTGCCGGGTCCTCCAGGATCACCACCTCCCGGTAGCCCGGTGCGCGAAAGCCGAAGTCCCCGCCGGTGGCCTTGCCCACCTCGGGCTGGTAGGGGTATGGCCCCTCGGACAGCGAGCGGCACAGGCGCCGCTTCTCCACCGACGCCTCGGCGTAGGCCTGGGGGGCGCCCTCGCAGCTCCCGTAGGCCAGCCGCCGTCTCTCCAGGGTTCCCTCAGGCCGGTAGTAGCCCCCGTTGGGGACCCCGCAGGGCTCGCGGTAGCCCTGGCGGCAGGAGCAGTGACGGC